TAATTGATTGATTAATTAATTATATTAGTGATTTTAATATCTATGAAGCAACAGTCCCTGATAGAATGCATTTGCTCAATTTGGGTATTTCAAAATATCTTTTAGAATTTACCTGAATATATATTCAACAAAAAGTAGGAATGGCAACTATTAAGGAGATGAATTTATGACTACGCGCAATTTTCTGATATCAAGGACTTGTAATTATAAAAAATAATCTAGAGAATATATTACGGTTTATAGCTAATGATTATCACAATATAATGAAGGTAATAATTTTTATAATAAATAATTTATTTGTTGAATATAAGAATGGTGAAGTTCCATGTGAGAGATTGTGTGAAATATTTCGTAAGTATATGAAAATGTATATGAAAACTCGTCAAGAATCATTTACTGATGATGATTTAACTAAACTGGAGGTAAGTCTTTATTATATTGCTTCAGCTATAATGATAAGACATAGCGATAGTTATACAGATTACTATTTCTTAAATAGGTATTGATCATTAATTTCTGTCAAGAATTTGTGAGTGTGTTTGCAGATTATTCTCCTAGCTGATGTAAAATACCTAAAAATCATGTACTCTGATATCATATTATTTCCACAATCTGACGTTATGGAGCGATAAATGGAATGTCTACTGAAACCTTTGAGATTCTCCATAAGGAAAATGTTAAAAATCTATATTGGATGTCTAACAAAAAGAATTATATAACACAAATGATAAAAATGATAAATTTTAATATCTATCAATATTTATTGATACATACTAATAGTTATCGTTATTAATATTTTATTATAGATACGATGCAAGATCTTAGCTGCACAAAAAATACCAATATCATTTATTAAAAAGATTCTGGTTTTCGAAATCTTCTATGGGAATTACGAATAACTGAAATAGAAAAAATAATTTCAAAAAATATCGATATTCATCGACTACATCAAGAAGACTTCAACAATCTTCAAACGGGACTTGAGGAGTTCTTAAGCTTAAATGATAAGTTATATGATCAAGAGTTTGCGTATTTTAAAATATATTCAAGTGCTTATGTGGAATTAACTGATGTTATTTGAGCAACTAATTTATTTTATGGATCAGAATGGTTCAGTAATGTAGCAATCTCTGTTGATGAAAAAGAAGAAATTTTTTGATACAGAAAGGTATAGTATAATATTATAATGCTATTTATTCACAAAAGCTATTATTAACAAACAATAATCTTAATTTAGGTACTATTATTATTTGAATTTTTTTATATAAAAAATTATGAGCCATTAAAACTCGCTTTATTACAATGGTATAATACATTGGAAGAAAGTAAAAATGAAAATATAGAACTCTATGGATACTCAAGATTATGGTTGACTAAACAATATACATGTATTTTTTTAGATTCAGTTGATATGACAGTACACATTATACTAAAATATGGAAAAAATATTAAATAAATATATTTTTTAATATTAAATAACAAGCGTTTTAGAAGTTTTAAGTCTTGAAAATAATTGAATATGTGAGTGTATGCGTGTTCATTTAGGTTATATAATCTAAACTGATATTGATGTGATAAACTGGTTTTAAAACAAGCATTTGAGTTAACTATTAACATATATCGTTTGTTAACGATAAATAATATATTGCGATAATGATCGATATATTATTATATATTGATAAATAATATATTAACAATGATCGATGATTATTGATATGGATATTTATCAAAGATCATTGGAGTCATCGATTAATATTGATATTTCAAAGAGATATTTATCGATTTTTACAGATATGGTGATGATTCTCGATGAATATCACCCCAAAAAATTTCCTGATGTAATAGGTAACACCTTTGGTATTGGTTCTTCAGGAATAAAATCATCTATTTTCTTATCTGATAATTTTAGTACCTCTTCCATTGACTTAGTGTTGGTATTATTTTGTTGATTCACTACAGAGTTGGATAAATCAATAGCTGATACTGAATTATTTATAGATAACCATACCTCTGGTATTGCTTCCTTACCATTTTGTCTCTGACCATCCACAATCAAGGAAACCTGTTCCAATATTGCAAGTCTAGCTTCAAGCTCTGTATTCTTTTGTTCTAGTTCCTTGACTCTAGCATTATGCATCACATTCTCCTCAATAATTTGCTTCAACTTCACATTTTCAGCCTTAACCTCAGCAAATTTCTTTTCAAGTTCAGGAATTTTGGCATTCTCCTTTCTAAGCTTGACAATCTCAACTAAGAGATTAGCATTTAATTCTCTTAATGAATCAATAGATTGTGTATTTGCCATTTTTTTAAATA